TAGAGATTTACCGTACCAATTAATTAGTCCATTTAACGGAAGTAAATAAACATAAGCAAGAATTAAAACCAAATACACAGGAATTGATCACACAGTTCAGAGCGCTTCTCCTACATCTGTGGGGCAACCCACGTCTGCCCAATCCACTAGATGTTCACCACGGTTTACATGTGGTCATTACACACGGCTAATAGCCACTACAACCTTCAAAACATCTTTTACAGAATTGGAGCGTGCATGCCTTGTTTGACTTCACCACTTGATGTTGCTGAACCAGATTCAGTCTGACTGTGCTACCAGGCGTGATCTTTCCAACCAATATAGAAACCAGAATTAAGATAGTGCAGTGTTTGGAAAATTCTTCTCAAAATAGCATTGAAGTTCTTAATGTCCAAAAAGGAAAGTGTTTCCTTTTATAGCATTAGCTTTTAACCACCTTCTCCAAAATAATAGCCATCCACCACCACCAACCCATCTGACATGCTGACTTCCTCTTTCATAATATATGTACGTTGATTACGTACATAACCCATGATACAGTAGAAGATTCATCACATGATAGCAGGGGTGGAGCCCGAATTTGTTAGTGCGGGGAGCCAATATTAACTTGAGAGAGAATAACGATGAACTGAGAATAATTAACTCCATAACTTGATGGTAAAACTTTTCTACCAACTTGCAAACGTCATCGATTCTGAATGATATACGCATCTCTTTTGGATCTAACGGTGAATTGAGAATAATTAACTCCATTGTTTTATCATCAAACCTATTGTTCAACTCTTGTAACTGAGAATTAATCACGGCATTAAAAATATCAAATTTATAATGATGCCCAATTCTTAATTCATCTTGTTGATGCATAGACTTCCTTTTCTTGCAATATATTGAGTATCAAATTTCGACACAATTATGTTGACAGCTTCACAAAAAAGACTTCACACTTGCAACTAATTCATCACTCTCTTAAATTTTGAATAAGCAACTTAGTAGATGACATAAGATGCATTGCAATCAATAGTAAAACTGTTCATTATTATGAATATATAGTTCAAATATGAACATATAGTTGTGAACATAATTATGAACATATAATTTTGTAATTATGAATATATAGATTCAATAATTGTGAATATGAAGTTCAAAAATTATGAAATATAGCTTTATAATTATGAACATATAATTCAGTAATTATGAACATAAAGTTCTGTAATTGCGAATATAGAGTTCAATAAGTATGGATATAAAGTTCAAAAGTTATGAATGTGTATGTTTATAATTATGAACATATAGTTCAGTAATTATGAACATATAACCGTGTCTACCTTACAAGATGGACACAGTTCCACAGCATAACGATTGATACTTTGGTTAAGGGGGCCAAAAATATAATAATATACTATTAATATTTTTTTGGGGAAGGGGGGAGGGGCAAGGCCCCCTGGAGTAACAATGTGCCTCCGCCCCTGCATGATAGGAGTCAGTCCAAGGCTTCAATCTGCATAGTATCTAATTTATTTGTCTAAACAAATTCTAATTAAATTGTCACATAAATAATAAAATTAATGTGTATCAATTTTGTACACTTACAGTTTATTTAACCGACCGAACCGACAAAGTTCGATTAACCATTTTTAACCAAACTTTTTCGACTCGGTTAATGGTTAAACGTCTTTTAAAATTTTAATTAACGCTTAATTCGATTTGAAATTGTAGCTTAACCAAAATTATATATATATATATATATATATATATATATATATATATGTAAAATCCCTATACATTTGTAATATATTGTTATGGTATTTGTTTTTGTATATTTTCTTATTGATTTATTATTATATGTATTATTTTAATTAGATTTATTATTATATGTATTATTTTTAGGATTTAACCGACCGATTAACCAAAAAAACTTCTGTTTGATTAATTCATTAATATAAAGTTCGGTTCGATTAACGGTTAAAGTTTTAAAAATTCCGATTAAAACGGTTCGGTTAATTAATTCCACATTGATATACAAAACGAAACTAAAAGCAACCCCATCTATGATTTTTTGTGGGGTCCAAATGTCCAATATGAGTTGGAGGATAGAGAAGAAGGAGAGATAGATCAGAGTGAATTTTGAACTCCTGAGAGATAGTGGTTTTTTGTGGGCCTCAAGAGAGAAAAAAAAAATGAAAGAAAGACCGCACATGCTCTTTTTATTTTATTTTATTTTATTGTGGTACATTTTAGTTTTTAAAAAGAAAGTAATAGGGTGGCAGGAGATATCGTACCAATAATAATAATAATAATAATAATAATAATAATAATAATAATAATAATAATAATAAAGTTAATACCGGTCCCTCGACTATTAGATAATAATAGTTAATACCCATTTTGGTCCCTTGACGTTAGATAAAATGACGTTTTTGTCCCTCTTTATAACGGTGGATGGATGACAATTGTAACGGAGGTTCAAATTGGGTATGATTTTACAACTTAGAGGACTAAATTAAGTACTTTTAATAGTTTGAGACTGAATTGTGCATTACCTAATAGTCGAGGGAGGGATTGAATTGTGCATTACCTAATAGTCGAAGGACCAAAATGGGTATTAACTCTATATATAATGGAATAGTTATTGATAATGAATATGATAGGGATTATCACAACACAAAACTCCATTACAAATTTGATAACCGCAATGATTATTAGGTTAGTGATGTTGTTAATCAAATTCACCTACAAATAACCTTCATTATAAAAGTGATATTATAAAAGTATAAAAGTGATATTATAACATCTAAAAAATATCTTTATGAAATATTAATAATGAAATATTAATAATGAAATATTAATATGCATAAATATCTTCAGTTTGACAATATAATTGGATAATGTATTGGACTCGATTCGATAATATTAGTCTAACCATGAAGAGTTCAAGCACTTAACTCAGTCAAATAGTAATGGCTAAGTATAGAGCATGTGGAACGGTGCATTTAAGGCAAGCCCAGCGTACTTATTAGAGCATCGACCCATAAAGAGCGTAAATTATGGAGGATAACGTACAACAATTACTAAGGAGCCTAGACACTTAGTGATGTGATGCGTTACACTTGTTTGGAGGCCATTGTGCCTATTAATACTGTAATTGTTACCACTAGTATAAATGCTAACCCTATGTAACAACGAGGAGAGGCACACTATGAACTTGTACTCAAATTCGTGACAATAAAACTACTATACTTGATTATTTATTTTCAAATATACACTGGTATCATTTATATCATCATTGGTGCTTTCGTTGAGACTATAAGATCAAATCTTAAGCAGGTTGAACACTTCACGTTTCTCATCATACAAAAAGATGACACGATCTAGATCAAGTGGCTCTCGTAGTTCCTGTAGCCCTAAACCACAATGACAATAGTAACGCTAGCATGGACGCCATGCCGATGAACTCGCGTGACTTTCAAGACCAACTTAGCAACAACCGTGGTGGTGGGCAGCAAGGGTCCGAGAGTCCGAGACACCAGTACCACATGTGGATATCCAGGCAACTGCTTAGGCCATTCAGTAGGCAGTGGCGGCGCTAACCCAATTAGTGGCAAAGAGTCAGTGTCAAGTGCCACAAACACCCACACAGGAGGATAAAGTGATATCTCCACAACGAGGGAGGACCCAATATCGCGGTGTGACCCATGCAATCAGCAGTTGTCCTGAAACTCAACCTTGTTATTAAATGCAGTGCCCTTTGGAATGAACACTTCTAGCAATAGTTAAACAGAAAATTGAACGACATGACAAAATATGATACAAATTACATAGGCATGCATGCACCTAATTATACAATTTTATTAGTCAAAGATCAAATGTGATTCATATATAATAGTCTAGAAACCCAAAGTGAAAATTTATTCTAAATTTAATCTTATAACTATTACTCATTTTTTATTTTAGTCCTTTAACTTATAAAGTTTTCAAAATTGTCTTAAGTATTGAATCATTTTTATTTTTTTTTAACTATAATTCAACTTAAAATTTTCTGTATAGACCATTAAGTTGATGGTAAAATTGAAAAATGATGACTATAATCAGAGCTTGGAGTCTTTCCTTATTATCCACAAATTAAACCATCAGTAAATCTAGTTCCTTTTGCAGAATTTTAGAATTTTATTATCCACAAATTAAACCATCCTGTCTACGTTTTGGTGCCTCTGTCAAATGTTTTGCAGATATGCTTCATCCTCTCAATTTTTAAATGTTTTGCATTTTTCATATAAACTGTAGGAGATGTTAATTTGTGTATGTATATAATTCACATTCCTTTGTTAGTATATTTATTTATTTAGCTAATATGTGCATATTTTGCAAATTAGAAACAATGTAAGAAGAAACCGAGCAAGGAAGTCAAAAAGCTTGAGTTGAACTCCTCAATTATGCCTAAGTCATTATGGCTACTATATTGTTATTACAAGCATGCACTTGGGAATGGAGAGAGTTTAAAAAAAGTTTTAGATGAAAATGTCTTCGGGGAAGAATGTACTCTATATGTGCACGACGAAGATGTGACTCCGTTTTGTCAATTGATGCCAATATCGTACACATGTATTGCTGTGTACATATGGTATGATTTAATATATATTTCGAGTCAATTATATATACTTATCACTTCTATGCTTTGTTATTCTAATTCAGTTTCCATTCCAATGTTAGGTCTTTGTATAAAAAGATGATGGAAGAGAACAAGATTGAAAAATTCAGATTTATGCAGTCATGTCATGTAGGTCATGTGCCAACAACAAGAACAGATAAAAATTTCCTAGACAAGCAGTTGGAAAGTAGGGCACGAGCTTTAGCAGACAGACTGATTGACAATCCAAGTAGTGCATCACTTTTGGTGCCATGTAATGTAGGGTAAGAATGGTTACAATTATACTTTTCATTGCATATTATTTTCTATTGATGTAATATAATTTTGTGTTTCTGTATAGTTTCCATTGGATTCTGACAGTTATCAACGTCAGTAAGGATACTGTTTATTTGTGGGACCCTCTTAGTCATCGCATTCGCGATGATGATTGGAAACATGTTGTAGAAATGTAAGTTTTTTGTTATTTCTTTTGATTTATATCGGTATGCTTATTACATAATCTGAATAATCAACAATATATTTGAAGGGCTATTAAAATGGTTATTGCGGCCTCTGGGAATGGAAAGAAAGGACGAAGTAAAACTGCTTGGAAAATTGTCAAGGTAATTTAATATTTGTAACTAATTAGATATAAGTGTTTGTATATGTTAAATTGTAATGCACATGCAAATCTTTTGTAGGCTCCTCGTCAGCCGGATAGTAACCAATGCGGTTTCTATGTCATGGCTTACCTGAAGACTTTAATTGAGAACATGCCGGACATTGATGATAAAGATTCTGTTCAAACACTGGTAATAATTCCATTTCTAATTCGTGTTTAAAATTATTTTGATTTCAATGTTTCAAAGTGGAAATATGATGCATTTGAGATTCTTGTTGCCAGTATAATTTTGAGTACTCCATTTATTGTTGATGTCTATTGAATGAATGCTTTTTAGTTTTTAATTTGATCTTTTTATTCACAAAGTTTAAAGTGGAAAGATTAGAGAAAATACAAAAGCTCTTGCCTTTAGAACTACTAAAACTCTATTACCATATAGTGGTTCTTGAAAATTACTCCTAACTTATTTCGAATTTCATTGCAATTACTAATTTATTTACTCACTTTTTACATGTAGTTCCAACAAGTTGAATATGACAAAGCGGTTATTGATCTGGTGCGTTCTGAATGGGCCGATATTCTATCAAGTTATATACAGTAGGTATGATTTGATCATTAGAACGTTGTGATCTTTTAGACTTCATGGAATTGTTTGTTGTAGTATTATGACGACTTCGTCGAATTGTTTTTTGTATTATTATGACTGGATGATATTTGATTCGATGAGAATTGGTCATGGAAGTATTTACACTTGTTATTTTGAACCTTAGCTTGTGCAAAATTATGTAACTACACTTGGCCATGGTGAATGGATAAATTGTTTTTTGGTATATGATTAAAATTTAAGCAGGTTAAAAACCGTTGAGACAACGGTTAAAAATCGTTGTTTATTTTACAATAGACAACAAAAATAGACAACAGTTTGAAACTGTTGTCTTTTCTACAAAAGACAACAGTTTATCGGCGTGACTTTTAACAACAACGATTTCATCAACACACAATAGACAACAGTTTATAACTGTTGTCTTTTAAAGAAAAGACAACAGTTAAAAAACCGTTGTCTATGTGTGTGACTTTTAACAACACTGGTTTCAACAACACTTAATGGACAACGGTTCGAAAACCGTTGTCGTTTCAAGAAAAGACAACGGTTTTTAACCGTTGTCTATGTGCGTGACTTTTAACAACACCGGTTTCAACAACACTTAATAGACAACGGTTAAAAAACCGTTGTCGTTTCTAGAAAAGACAACGGTTTAAAACCGTTGTCTATGTGCGTGACTTTTAACAACACCGGTTTCAACAACACATAATAGACAACGGTTGAAAAACCGTTGTCGTTTCTAGAAAAGACAACGGTTAAAAACCGTTGTCTATGTGTGTGACTTTTAACAACACTGGTTTCAACAACACTTAATAGACAACGGTTCGAGAACCGTTGTCGTTTCAAGAAAAGACAACGGTTTTTAACTGTTGTCTATGTGCGTGACTTTTAACAACACCGGTTTCAACAACACTTAATAGACAACGGTTAGAAAACCGTTGTCGTTTCTAGAAAAGACAACGGTTTAAAACCGTTGTCTATGTGCGTGACTTTTAACAACACCGGTTTCAACAACACTTAATGGACAACGGTTGAAAAACCGTTGTCGTTTCTAGAAAAGACAACGGTTAAAAACCGTTGTCTATGCGCGTGACCTACAACAACACCGGCTTCAACAACAGAAGTTTTACCCCTACGACAACGGTTATTAACCGTTGTCTATGTGCATTTTTCTTGTAGTGATTGTTGGACTCTATTTTCACAAATCAGAGAACTATATGTTCATAATTTGATAACTATACAATTTAGAAATTATGAATCTCTACTGTATTTAAATTATGAATATTTTATGAATCTACGATATAGAAATTATGGATCTACAGTATAGAAATTATGGATCTACAGTATAGAAATTATGAATCTACAATATTATGAATTTAAAGTATAAATTTTATGAATCTACAGTATAGAAATTATGGATCTACAGTATAAAAATTATGAATCTACAATATAGAAATTATGAATATGGAACTGTGCCTACCTTACAAGGTGGGCACGTGTTCACAGCATAACGTTCCGTAATAGAGTTAGTAACATTAAAAAAAAAAATCAAGTATTTTATTTTCAAATATCTATCTTAAAAATTTCTCAACCACTCATTCCACAATCAATCAGAGAAACTTAGCCATGAAAAAAGTTGTTACATTATTATAAATATAATCTTGATGAGATGATAGAATTCAATCTGATTAGTTACAGAGAGATTACAATGATGAGTCCTATAGAAAAGCTACCACCTAACTCTCCTAAACTATAGACTAAAATAACAGACTTAATCTATAACCACAAATATAAATTATATGTTATAATGGAATTATATTATTACTAACAATCTTAAATTTTGTATTATAATCATGCAATTTTCGCAATTTACACTTCATCAACTCATCAAGTAATAAAAAGTCATTATAATTATGAATGGGCAATAACAAACATGCATGATCCTCTATCTTTACACAAGTGGAAGCTGATTTTGATCGAGGCGTGTGCATGCAATGCAACATTGTAACCTAGGATGAAACCCACCCACCGCATACATACGTGCACACACAAAGCACTATATTCATTGGTCCAACCCGGCATATCAAAAAGTGAATAAAGTTGTAAAGTATACAACATATCGATCATCCACTTCATTCAATACACAATTCCTTACTCTTAAATAATTCTTCTATCTTTCTGATGGTATCTGGTACATTAGTGTTTGCATAATTGCATTCATAATTCTTCTATTTTTAAATTTCATTATCTACTATACCAAAATTTTTAACCTTTTTTTTGGGTACATAAGGGAGGGGAAAACTTCAATTTAAGACGTTACACTTGAGTAATGTGATACTTGACCGCTCTCCGCCATCATGACATGTTCAAGGGGGAGGGAGAACAATATCAAGAATTGTGAGGCCATATATGACTTAAGCTCCATGCCATTTTAGCAAGCTCATCCACTTTGTTTTGCTCTCGATATATCTTGTTGCAGACCATCTCTCACTCTCGTTGCATCGTGTCCTTGCAATTTTGGATTAAATTTCCAAAGTTTTTAACCTTGAATTAGTATAGTTTTGAGTTCGCAAATCATTATGATGTGTATGCTCATACATATATAATTTCGAGTTAACTCTATTTTTTGCTCTAGATTTATAGGTGACAATCCACTTTTAGTCATTTTTTTACAGAATATTCATTTTTTGTCCTAGTAACATAATAGTGTGACATGACTAATTTTGGTCCTCTATCAAAAAAATCATTGAAATTGCATTAAATATAAGAGCATTTCGCTCTTCAATTATGAATTTTTTTCAAAAAATGAACATAAAATATATAACGGGTCAACACACTTTGTATTAAAAAGATCAAAAGGTCCTTATATTTAACGAAATTTCAACAATTTTGTTGAAAGATGACCAAAATTTGTCATGTCACAATAATACTAGGACCAAAAGGTGATGTTTTGATTTATAAAATTAAAAAAAAAATAGATTGTCATCACCTATAAATCTAAGGTCAAAAATGGAATTAACTCTATAATTTCATTTTGAGATTTTAAACTTTTTTTTTAGATTTTTTTTTGCCGAATTCAATATTTAAAAAATAAATCTTTTGAAATTATTTGTTGAGTTTCTACACAAAATACAAATCTTAAATCACTCTCTAAATCATTATTAAAGTGACTTTAAAATGGCTTGGCTCAAATCACTTTTTTAAACGCTCCTAAAATTGTAAAAGAGAAAATTGTAATTTATGCCCTCACAAATATGTTAATTATTCATGTCACTCTTGAATTATCAATGGTGTAAATGTTTCCTCTCACTTTTCAAACGTAATATATATTGGCCTCTCCCCTAATAGGAAGAATGATAAATATTATTATCGGTAGAAGGAGAACAAACGAAGAAAAAAAAATTGTAGTCTTCAAACAGAAAAAATGACGGGTAACGACATTTACACCATTAATAATTTAAGAGATGGATAATATATATCATATTTTAAAAATTGAAGGACAATATTTACACCACTAATAATTCAGAAGTGATATTGATAATTGAGTTAATACCCAAAATCGTCCTCGACTATAGTGGTTTTTCTCAATTTCGTCCTAAACGACTTTGGTGACCTAATATCGTCCCAGACTTTTGTGTTTCGCTCAATTTAGTCCCAGACTTTTGTGTTTTTGCTCAATTTAGTCCCTCATTTGTTATTCTGTCCATTTGGTGTTAAATAAATAGATAATTCAGTAATTTTAATATTGACATCTCTTTACTCATAGACATGTGAATTGCGAAATCCCATTTTTTTTCGAATTACTCCCAGAATTACTCCTAAAACTGCGAATATAAAATTTGATTTGCAAGTCCGGGAGTAATTCTGAGTGTAATTCGTACAAGAAAGAGGAATTTTGCACTTCACAAGTTGAAAGTAAAGAGAGATCAATATTGACATTACTGAATTGTCCCTTTATTTAGCACCAATTTGACGAAATAACAAATGGAGGACTAAATTGAGCGAAACACAAAAGTCTGGGACGATATTAGGTCACCAAAGTCGTTTAGGACGAAATTGAGAAAAACCACTATAGTCGAAGACGATTTTGGGTATTAACTCTTAACATATTTGTAAGAAGTATAAATTACCATTTTTTCTTTTTGTAAAATTTCCAATTCCTTACCAATTAAGACTCATTGAATTTCCGATTAATTTTAATTTTATTCTTAATTTTAATTCGAATTCCTTGCTTTGCACGAAGTGCGTTTGTAGTTATGCTGACATAAAAGTCCACTCTAATCCAACAAACCCTTCATAGGGTTTTTATTAATTTTCTCTCTCTCTCTCTCTCTCTCTCTCTCTCTCTCTCTCGGTCTGTTGCCCTTCCATTGTTGTGATCCCACCTTGAGCCGGTCAGCTATGAAAAACTTAAGCTGGTTTACCACCTTGTGGCTCTTTGCCGGCTAGGGTCGCAAGGCGAGGGTTTACCCACATACTCACGAATGTCAGTAGTGGGGTTTACCTCGACAATCCAACAAATTCACTACACTAACACTATGGACTCTGACGATGGCTTATATGATGAGACGGGCTCGCCGGGGGACGATGATTTCTACGGCGGCAGCGACGGTGACGGCGACGTTACCCACGAAGACTCCGGGAGCGATGGCGATGTGGAGGGGGATCCTGATTTCATCGGCGATGATGATCATGGCGAGGAGAGTGATTTCACAATCTTGACGGGGGACGAAATCCGGCGTCTCATGGAGGACGATGTAGCCCAAGTCACCGCCGTTCTCTCGGTGTCCAAGGCGGAGGCCTCCGCTCTTCTCCGCCGCTACAATTGGAGCGTTAACAGAGTGCACGAGGAGTGGTTCGCGGACGAGGAAACGGTTCGGAAAGAGGTGGGCCTGATTTCGTCTCAGAGTGTGGAGAAAAGAATCGAGGATTGTGGAGAAATCAGCTGTGGAATTTGTTTCGATGATCACTCGCCCGGTAATGTTTACGCCGCCTCGTGTGGCCACCCTTTTTGTGTTGATTGCTGGTGTAGTTACATCGGCACCGCCGTCGCGGACGGGCCGGGTTGTCTGAACCTCCGGTGCCCCGACCCGTCTTGCAAAATCGCTGTTAATCTTGACGCAATTGAGCGTTTAGCGTCGGAAGAGGATAAAAGGAAATACTTAGGCTTTCTCTTCCGATCTTACGTCGAGGAGAATCGGAAAATCAAGTGGTGCGTAGCCCCCGGTTGCGAATTCGCGATCAACTTCGAAATCGGGAGCGAGAATTCCGACGTCCTCTGCGACTGCGGCAACTTCTTCTGCTGGAATTGCACGGAAGAAGCTCACCGCCCGGTGGATTGCGAGACCGTGAAGAAATGGATTCTGAAGAACAACGCGGAATCGGAGAACACCAACTGGATTTTGGCGTACACGAAGCCGTGTCCAAAGTGTAAACGGCCTATTGAGAAGGGGGAAGGGTGTATGAGGATGACGTGCAAGGCACCTTGCAACTTTCAGTTCTGCTGGCTGTGCTTGAGTGAGTGGTCGGTTCACGGCTACAATCCCTGTAACAGATACAAGCCTGGGAGTGAAACTGAGAGGCAGAAGAAAATGGCGAAGATGTCTATAGAGAGGTACACACATTACTACGAGAGGTGGGCTGCTAATGAGAAGTCCAAGAAGAAAGCCATGGAGGACTTGAAAGAAATGGAGTGTGTGAACGTGGGGAAGCTTAGCGACTTCCAGTCCCTTCCAGAGTCCCAACTGAAGTTCATAGTGGAAGCTTGGAATCAGATTGTTGAATGCAGAAGAGTGCTCAAGTGGACTTATGCTTATGGGTTTTACTTGCCCGAGGAGGAGCACACGAAAAGGCAGTTCTTTGAGTACTTGCAGGGCCAGGCTGAGGAGGGTTTGGAGAGGCTTCATCAGTGTGCTGAGAAGGAACTTGAGATCTACCTCAGTCCGGAGGAAGCTAATTCCCCTAATTTCTGTGATTTTCGTATAAAGCTTAACGGTTTAACAACTGTGACCAAGAACTACTTTGAGAATTTGGTTAGTGCATTAGAGAATGGTCTCGAGGATGTAGATTCACATGGGGCTCCTCATGACTCCAAAAATATGCCAGGCAGTAGCAATGCAGCACCAAACCCAAAGACGAATTATTCATCAGTTTTTCGTCGCAACAGGGTAGCTGGAGGGAGAAATTTACTAGCAGGTCGTGGCATCAGGATGGAAACACAAAGAAATTTACCCGTGGCTGGAAACAACACAGCAGGCACAAGACCGTTGCCCAACTTGACAGCTGCTGCTCTGCGAAATGCTAACACAATGGTGGTGGCTCAGTATCCAGAAAGACGGAGGTCAAAGGTAGTGTTTACAACAACCGCCTTAGAAGGCGACACAGGAAATGGATCAGTAGCAGTGGGTGGCAATAGGGTAGGGGTTGAACCAGGGCAGAGGCTGAATTTGGGAAACACTTTACCAGTTGCAACTGGGTACCTAACAGGTGTGGCTGGTGGACTAGTAGCTGGGACTGTCAATGGTGTTGGAGTTGAACCAAGGCAGAGGACAAACTTGGCAAATGCATTGCCGTTGGTAAACGGTCCAGTTGGTGGCAACATTCATGGCCTGGGAAATGGACCAGTGCCTGGTGCTGGCAATGGGATAGGCATTGAACATAGAGAAAGGGCTGACTGGCATCCATCATGGCTGACTGGGAGCACCAGCAAAGCACACTCTGTGAATGCACCAAGAGCTGGGAGCCCCTATGGGGTTGAAAAAAGATTCAGGGAAAGCTCAGAAAGTGCTTTGCCACTCGGTGGCATTACATCAGAAGTCTTGAAGAATCCACCAGCACTGGGACTGGGTAGCAACAATCGGTTAAGTTTGCAAAATGCACCAGTAGCTGGGTCTGGCGATGTTTCAAGCTCTAGAAATACACCATTAGCAGGGAGCAGCAGCATTGTTGCAGTTGAGAAAAGACAGAGGACTTCTGCAACAGGAGTAGCAACTACCAATCCTAAGAATGGTGATTTAGGAAGTTGGGCATGTGATCTGTGCACCTATTTGAATCCAAGCTCTGCTACTGTGTGCACCATGTGCAGGGGTGATGCTTCAGACAACTGGGAATGTGATAAATGCACTTTTGTCAATGACAAGCATGCTACCATATGCCAAGTATGTGAACTTCCACGATAAGTCATCAACTGACTTTTTCTTGCTAGGGGTCTCTGCCAGAGGCTTCTGAAACATAAAAAGTTGAAGGATTAGCCCTCATAAATATGAAATAAATGCTTTTAGTTACTTAGTTCGTATTAGTTCTGCTGGAATCTGGAATCAAATGCTTTGGCTGTAAAACATACATAATAGAAGTTTTACGTATTGTTTTTCCAGCTATGTAGATAACTGCTAAATAACACCTCGTGGTTCTGCGCCTGTGCATATGCAATTATATTTACAGTTATCTTACCCTGATTTTACTTGAATCTGATTATTGACTTGAGAACTCTTTTCTAGTTTTTCACTTCTTCACTCTTTGATTGATACAGGATTTTCCCTATCATGAATGATTTTGCTTTATATTCATAAACTCCATACTGATGTTATTCTTTAAAAATAAGTATTGCGTTGATCTCATTTTCTTTCTGCTAGAAATGATGACCAGCTATGTGCACAATATGCAGACTTAAGGGGATCATCATTTCTGCCAAATTGTGTACCTTGTACTGAGCAAATAATCTCCCATTATATTGGTTCTCTATTCTAGTCATTAATCTGCTCTATGTTAAGCTTGTAGTTGTAATCTGTTGAACAAAATTAATTGTTATACAACCTGGTATCCAGTCTGAATGTATCTATGTCTATGTATAATATAAACGGCCAATGGTTGTTTAACACTGAAATTTTCAGGCCTTTTTTTGGTATCTTATGCTGCGGTGCTTGCACCTTGACATTTTTTTGACAGGCTATCACCAGCATTAAAGTTCTGGCTGTTTAGTAAAGTTGTTGTTTGCATATGTTTACTTTCTCCTGTTTTCTTCCTTGCCCATGCCTAATTTCCTCCTTGATTTGAGGTAATAAAGATGCATCTCTTCTGTTCATTACTGTTTCACTGCACTTTTTCCAGCCCTGTTGTCCTTTACCGATTAACTTGAGAGGTTTTCGGAGTAAAAAAACTGAAGGAAACAAACTTCTGGACACTAAAGCACATTGGTAACTTGGAAAGATTATTTTTTGAATTAAGGTTCTAATTTAAGATCAATTGGCTTCTTCTAAAGCAGCTATTCAGTCAATTTCTCATGCGGCTGTAGAGCAACCTTTTCCTGCCAATTTGGTGAGATGACCAACCCCCTTCACTTGCTTTATTGATCACCCTTGTATGTTCCAAGTTTGTTGATTATTAAACTATATTACTGACTTCAAGTCTCAGGATCATGCTCTTGGACACCACAGCAGTTTCTCCATTTTGGCAAAGCAAAGTGCTCTGTAAAATGCTGGGGCTCTTGAGACTGTCTTGGTCAACACCAATCAAAACCTGAATTACCACATTTGAGGAAGTTCTGAATATGGCGTCAAATTGTCGTGAATGCCAGGCCTTCAGTCTCCAACTGGTGTAAGTCTTAAGTAGTTAAGTTTTATTTCCTTCCTGCAAATGTGGTTTAAATATAAAATTTCCAGGATTCAGGAAATGTGGTTTTCAAACGGATAAACTTGGTTGGTGCAACTCCACACTTGTGATTTTGAGGTTTTGGGTTAACTTTTCCATTGCCTTGCAATAGGCCAAACATAGTTCAGACATTTTCCATTTTTCTAAGTTTAAGAGGTGGAATTTAAACTGGGATTCGATGTTGACATTGCTAATTTTGTATGTTGTTTCTTATCTTTTCTTCTATTGCACCAACCAATACATTGCTAATTTTGCTAGTTTTGTATAAACCTTACATTGCTAATTTTGTATGTTGTTTCTTATCTTTTCTTCTATTTGTGATTGTACACTTGTCAAAAAACAATGAATATGAAAAGTTCAAGATTTATGCCACATATGGTAAAACAATCTCGTGTTTCGTTTGCAGCTTTTAGAGAAGCAACAACTAATTCAGTTTGCAGAATCACTTCACAGCAAGCTCGGCTACTTTGATGAATTTGAGAATGTAAAGGTTTCATTTCTATTTACCTCAATATTATTGCATCGTTTGATGTTTGATGTTTGATGTTGTTTTACCGGCAAAAGCAGTGTGACTTACATATTGATAAGTTCGGTTACTCATAGTTTTGTATTAGATGTGCCTAAGGTGAACTTGATAATGAAATCTGATACTTATTATCCATGTTACAAAGATCTAAGCTCAACAAGAATTTTTCCTAATTTTACTTAATAAGAAATTATTGGGTTTTAGTTTCTTGAATTTTGTTATAAATTTGATTTCTATTCCTGGGTTAATATTTTAAATTCACAACTTTGTTCTTTTACCTTTGCTCTGTGTCTTAACTCTTACAAAGTTACAGGGCGTTTGGTTGGAGGGGGAATTACGTGGAAAAGGAATTGCAATTTCATGGGAGATGAATTACTGGGAATAAAGTGAGAATTTAAATTTCAGTGTTTGGTTTACGGGAATAGAATTACTGTGAATTTGAATTCCAATGTTTGGTATACATGGGAATTGAAAGGGAATAAGTTGTATAAAGTCCAAAATGTCAATTATTGTTGTAGTATTAATTTTAGGTTAAAAAAAAAAAAAAGGATAATTTTGTCTCATCACTAGCATTTTTTCTTCCTAAAATCCCAGGAAATAAAATACCGGGGCGGGACATGGGATTTTAATTCCATGAAAATGAGGGAATTGTAATTCCATGGCATTGCAATTCCTTCCAACCAAACTAAAGAATTTTATGGCCTTTGGAATTAAGTGGGAAGGGAATTTAAACTCCCTCCCTCCAACCAAACGCCTTGTTAAAGTCTGTCTTGCTAACTGATATAATAATAACTTATCATAAGTTATTATTATTTGGTTTTTGATTCCTCTAGTAACAGATTGTATAGAAATGTGTGGTTTCAGTCCTCTGGTGTCCTTGGTCATGATAAATATTCTTGTGCCTTGTTAATGTTTTTTGGCCGATCGATCATGCTCGTTTACTTTATTTCTCTGTTTTTCTTACTTTAATTATCCCATCTCGATCCCTACGGGGATTTCTTAAGGACCCGCCCCGATTTTAAAATAATAAAAAAAAAATTTATACACTTCTAAATTTTTAGTACACTATAAAATAATATTTTATTTTATTTAAATTGTTCCATTAATTTCTAAATTTATATATTTAAATGTCTAATTAGCCTAACTTTCAATCATCTCAAAATACTAGTATAAAATATTTAAAACATTAACCAATACTTAAAGATTCAAATTGTTCAAATCTTAAGTCATTAACCAAAATACTAAATATTCATACATAATAACTTTAAAAAAAAATCAAAAGTCAAAATTAAAAATTAATGCATATAAATATTAGTATATGTATTATTTATTATATAATAGGTATAATACATACATATATATATATATATATATATATATATATATATATATATATAATAAAATTAAGATCATATGCGAATGAACGTTTTAGATAAAAAAAAAAAGTGGTGGCATTATTGTAATTTTGAATAAGTTTAGATATTATTTGTTTTTGAGTGTACATTTTTTCTTTGAGTGCACATTTTTCTTCTTTGAGTGCATATTTTCCCTTCTTCGAGTGTATATGTTTTGTTCAGTGCATAATTTTCTCTTTGAGTACATATCTTTGTGCTTTCGAGTGCAGAATTTTAACCTTTTAGTGCATATTTTTGTGCCTTCAAGTGCACAATTATGAGCCTATGTTTATTACTCCGTATATCTTTTGTCTTCTTTATAATAACGTATACTAAATTTTTAATGAAATTTGTGAGATTTACAAACAATTTGTAAAGGTAATTGCTTCAATAACACTGAAGTTGAATAATTTTCCTTTTTGGTACCATAAATTACTTCAATTGCACATCTTTGTGTCTTCGAGTGCATAATGTGTTTATTATATATTTTGAATTCTTTTCAACAATGTATAACTAAATTTTTAATGAAATTTGTGATATTTACAAACGATTTGTAAGGGTAATTGCTTCAATAACACTTAAGTTGAATAACTTCAATTTTTAGTATCATAAATTGCTTCAATTGCACATCTTTGTGCCTTTAATTGCATAATTTGACCTTGAGTGCACAATTTTGTGCCTTCAAGTGCACAATTATGGACCAGTGCATAACTTAGGCATTCAAGTGCATATCTTTAATTCTTTATGCTTTCAAGCTCACAATTTGGCCTTGAAATGCATATTTTTGAGTCTTCAAGTGCACATTTTTGTATAGAAATTTGAGTTTAAGAGTTATTGATCACATTTATCGGCACTTTCGCACGAGAGCTCTCGTTCGCACTTAATCTTAAACTAACGCACTTTAAGTACACAACACATGCACATTAAGCACAAAAACAAAACACCCAAGAACACTAATTTCACGCGCATGAAGCACAAAATTCACACACCTTAAGTACAAAACTCATGCACTTTAAGTTTCAACAACTATTCACATTAAGAACACAAACTCACGCACCTTAAACACAAAACTCATGCACCTTAAGCACAAAATTCACGCACTTTAAACACAAAACTTATGCACCTTAAGTTTCAACACTACTCACATTAAATACACACACACGCACCTTAAGCACAAAACTCACGCACCTTAAGCACAAGACTCACACCCCTTAAACACAAAACTTATGCACCTTAAGTTTCAACACTACTCACATTAAGTACACACCAACGCACCTTAAGCACAAAACACACGCACCTTAAACACAAGACTCACGCAACTTAAGAACAAAACTCATGCACATTAATCATCGCACGGGAGACATTCAACCGCACAGGAACTTATATATATATATATATATATATATATATATATATATATATATATATATATATATATATATAGCTCAAAGGTCGGGGTGAGGATTGGAAAACTCTCCCCGCCCCAGCAAATTACGTTGTAGAATCCTGTCCAACTTGCAAGGTGGACACGGTTTCAAAACGGTATTGTTTTGGTGGAAAACAACTCCGTGTAATTTTTTTTTTTAAAAAAAAAATTGTTTTCTTTCGCCGTTAGCGGCGTTTGTCTTCAGGAAATCTATATTCATAATTATTGAACTTTATATTCATAATTATAGAACTCTATGTTCATAATTTTTGAACTCCATATTAATTATTGAACTTTATATTCAAAATTACAAAATTATGTTCATAATTTTTGAACTCTAGAAATCTATGTTCATAATTACTGAACTCTATGTTCATAATTTTTTGAACTCCATATTCACAATTATTGAACTCTACTAGTTTTTTACGCGCATTGCGCGATTGGGATAATGCCCAATGCTTTTTTTGTTAAATAAGTACTTTAAAGTATATTATGGCAGGATTATATTGAAATTGTTCATGCATAGATAATTGAAGGTTGAATTTGCGTATTTAAATAGGTAATTCTTCTCCCAAAGGTTGAGTCCCAACCCCAAGGGCCCCCCACACTCCGACCCGACAGAGCATTGTGAGAAGTTGTAAATCATGGTGACTTAATGGTTCAGCAGACAGGGTCAATGCTGATACGCACAAGGAATCTGCCCACTTTGGACATAATTCCCGCACTGCCGCCGCCGATGTTCAAACTTTGGTCTCTTCTCCCAAATACTACCCACTAAACCATTTAGCTAAGCTCGTGCGAGTTAAATAGGTAATTCTAAGTTTACAAATGCAAGATAATATAGTCAAGATTGATTATAATTGTCAATAAAATAATTGTATAAGTATAGTTGAAACCAAATACGGGACATAAGGGAGAACAAATAAAAATTAGGGCATAAAATATTAAATATATACTAATATTGTTTGAGGAGATTCGGACATTAGGATTTGTGGTTAAGTTCTATTAAGACTTTAATATTAGAATTAGATTAATGGTGTAGTTATAATTCTATATTAGACTTTAATATTAGAATTAGACTAACGGTGAATTAACGGAAAAGTTAAATGGATAATCATATAATTAAGGATAAATTAGAAAATCTTAAAAGAAAAAAAAAAAACCTGAACAATATGAACCATTCATTTGATTTAATAATTTGGCGGTCATTTTTTCTACCCAATGTTAATAATTGAATAAATTCGCTGGTCAAATCCGTTAGTATAATCCGCTAACGCTAACCGCTGATTGTCAAACAAGGACATTGCGAGGTAGTTCTCACTTCAATTTGTTGTGTGATTTGAATACTCTCTTTGTCACAAAATCTCTCAAGTAGTTAATATGGTTGGCTTTATTAATTATATTTTTTTAATTTTTTCATGGTATTAATAAAATACTTGGTAAATAAATATATAGCATTATTTTGTATTATAACTTTGATATTTAATTAGAAAAATAGTGCACAAAAAAGATAATAGATAATGTAGTGAATATAATCAATTGATGAATTTGAATGAAAAAATTTTTACATTTGAGAAAAATAAATACAATATAACTAATAAAAATATTTCTTTTAATTAATTTATTGATAATTAATAATTTTTTTTTCACTGAATAAAGACATTGTAAGGACAATGTAGCGAATATAATCAATTAATAAATTTGAATATAAAGAATATATTGAAGAAAAATAAAGACAATATAACTAATAAAATTATTTCTCTTATTTAATTTATTGATAATGAATATATATATTTTTTTTTTTGAATAAAGGCATTGTGGACACATAATTCTAAATTAAAGAAATGCATATGTATTATTTTTTGTTGTAACTACTAAATTATTATTTATATAATTTAATAAGAGTAAAATAGAGTACTAATTATGCAAACTTTGATTGGGATGAGGTTCGAACCTAAGACTTTTTTTTATTGAATCAATGAGTAAGTTAACGGTGAACTAACGACAATTCTTAAAATTTTAACGGAATTAGTAACGGTGTGTGGGTATTTTAGGAAATTTTAATGTAAAATTTAAATCTGATCAATATTTTAATCAATCTGAGCCATTCATTTGATTAAAATCTGTGACCGCCATTTTTTCTACCCATTATAGGCCTAACTCTCTTGGGCTCTTATTAGTATAGTAGATATTCATAATTATAGAATTCTATGTTCATAATTATAGAACTCTATGTTCATAATTATTGAACTCTATGTTTATAATTATTGAACTCTATATTCATAATTCTTGAACTCTATCTTCACAACGTCTTGCTGAGTTGTTTTGACAAATTATTTTTTAAAAAAAGAAATAAAAATCTTATTGGTGGAGGAAAACGGTGTCACTAACGT